GCTGATTTCTTTGCTCCACATAATTTTCTGTGCTGAGTTCATTTTGTTTATGCATTTTTAAAATCATTTCCTTAGTTGATCTTGTTTAAGTATTTGCTAAGTATTTGTTCCTTGCATCTTTTTAATTTTGATGGGAAGGTTTATTAATTTTCTTTGAGGCTACTTTGTTATTTATGATATTCTTTTGAAGTTTAAAACAGTCTATTATATCTCAAAATAGCATTGACTTCCTCTCCATTTAGAAGTACTGTACCTATACTGTTTCCCTGCTTTCCCTTTGTAGTTGTTATTTACCAATTGATGTCTCTGGTTTCCTATTTGCAGCCTAGTAAGTTTATTTTACTTTGGATACTTCTGTAACGGGGTTGGTTTCTGGGATATGTTGTCTTATGTGTTCATCACTGATTGTTGTCTACTGTTTTTGGTCCTTTGTCCAATGGAGTCCCTTTATCATCTCTTGTAAGTTTGGTCTGGTTTTACAAATTCTCTTTATTTCTGTTTATTTATAAATGTCCTAATTTTGCTGTCATATTTGAGGAACAATTTTGTTGGGTATATAATTCTTGGTTGGCAGGGTTTTGTTTTTTTTTTTTTTTTTCCTCCTTTCACAGTTTTATATAAGTCATTCCATTACCTTTTTGCCTGCATGGTTTCTGCCAAGAAATCAGACCTTAGTCATATTAGTTGTCCTTTGTAGGTAACTTTTCCTTTATACCATATTACTTTCAGGACTTTTTCTTTGTCTTTGGTTTTGGAAAGTTTGTTCATGTTTTGTAATGGTGATTTTCTTTTGGGGTCTATACTGTTTGGGGTTTGTGGTAGTTAAGTTTAGGTGTCACCTTGGCTGGGCCAGGTTGGGTGGCTGGGCAGCTGGATGTAGTTATTCCCCATGATGAGATTGGTAATTAACTCCATGCTGGATTCTATTGGAGCAGCTGAGTAGCTGCTTTAAGGATGTAGTCTGCTTCCAGTATATCAGAAGCGACTTTGAGGAAGCTCTGCAGCCTATGGCACACTTGAACCCTGCGTGTAGCTGAGTCGTTGCTCAGTAGCCTGCCATGCTCTACCAACCTGGGGACTTTGGGTGGACTTGAATCAATGGCCTGGTATGTGGTTTGGTAATATCGGGACTGTGCCTTTTCACTTGTCAACCTTGGGTTTGTCAGCCTCAGCAGCCAGCAGCTGCCTGAGTGAAGAGATGCCTTTAGCTTCAGTGGGCCAGGAGTAAGAGGCAGAGCTGAACCCCAAGGTCGAGGGGCTTTCACCCAGCCCCTAGCACCTGGCATTTGGAACTTGGACTTCTAGACTCCAAAACTATAAGAGAATAAACTCCTGTTTTTTAAAGCCTTCCCATTTGTGGTATATTCCTGTCAGAGCAGCAGTGGGTAACCAAAATAGGGTTCATTGAACTTCTTGAATGCATAACTTCTTGTCTTCATCGTATTAGGGAAGTTCTCTTAAAACAAATCTTCAACAGTTTTCTGTGGTTTTCTTTCTTTCCTCCTGTTCTGAAATTCCAACCACATGTAAGTTATTTCTCTTGATAGTGTCTCACATAAATTTTAGACTTTCTTCTTTTTTTTGGGGGGGGTTGTCCTTATTTCTGATTGTTCCCTTAACAAAGTACTATTGAGAGTTTTGTCTTCATTCTCACTAATTCTTTCATTGCTTCAATTCTGCTCTTCTGCCCTTTTGGTGTGTTGTTTATTTCTGATACCATGCTGTTAATCTTCTGGATTTCTATTTGCTATTTTTATGTATTTTCTAATTTTTCACTTATTTTTGCAATTTGTTCTTGTATTGTTTTTCTAAATTGTTCTAGAGTTTTGTCTGTTTTCCTTACTTTCATCAGTGTTTTTCTTGATTCCGTCATTGTTTTTCTTGATCTGTCTCTCAATCCATTAAAGGTACCTGAGTAGAATTCTTTTGAATTCCTTATCAGTTAGGTCCAATGCCACTTCTTCCCCAGGGTAATATTCTGGTCCTGTATTCTGGTCCCTTGTTTGTACTGTTTTATCTTCCTTCTTTATATATACTGAGATTGTCTGTTATCTACAAGACATTGTGATAATCATTGTATTTATATTTAATTTGTGATTTTGTGTTTCTGTGATTCGCCAAGGTTTATTTTATTTATTTATTTTTTAATCTGTTTAATTTGTTTTGATATACCTGAGTGAGTAGATCTGATGTGTTACTCTGTTTGCTAGTTTGGCAGCACTTTGGCACTCTCCACCTTTTTCCTGAGAATGTGGGCACAGATAGATGTCTGTTAGCTATTTATATGGAACAATTGAGGGTGAATTGGCTGGATTTGTCAATGTCTAAAGTTGACCAAAGGAGTTCTGGTAGCATGATACCTAAGCTATCTGACTGCTAACCAGAAGGTTGGTGGTTCAAACCCATCAGCCACTCCACAGAAGTAAGATTGGGCAATCTACTTCTGCAAAGATTTACTGCCTCGGAAACCCAATGACTATGAGTTGGGATTAACTCAATGGCAGTGAGTTTAGTTTTGGTTTTGGTAAAGTTGACCAGTTGGTGCAGAATTAATATGTGAATCTTGCCCAGTGGGTGTGGTTCCAGGAGGTGCAGATGTAGTTGAAATTTGTGGACAGGGTTGCTGTCTCCTGCCAGATTGGGAGGGGAAAAAAAAAATGAAAACAAGAGAAACAAAAAACCCAAACAGTGTAAGGAAGTAACCAGAAAAGAATGAAAAGAAAACCAACAGAATTAAAGTAGGAGAAGGTGAGAAAGAAAAATAAACACTATTGGGTGGCAGAGGAAGAAGAAAAGAAAATAAGACAAAAAAAAAATAGTAAGGAAAAAATGAGAAAAATGCAAAAAAAAAAAAAAATCAGGATTTAGGAAAAATGAAAAGAGGAAATGAAAAAAAGAAAGGAAAAGGAATGGAAACAAGAAAAGGGGAGAAAAACAGAAAAACCAAGAACCAGGAAAAGGAAAGAAAAGAAAGAAATAGGAAGGAAGAAAAAAGAAGAATGAAAGAAAAAATTAAACTAGGGAAGCAGGGCTCCTGGACAGTGTTTCTGCTAGTGTAGCAAGTGGTAGGCAGCAGGACATCTGGTTATGGCCCTGGTTCCTGCCTACCTAAAATGCAACTGGGGGCAGAGCCCCTTATCCCAAACAAGTTCTGCTGATTCAGAAGATGTCTGGGGGTAGGGCACTTGGATGTGGAAAAAGTTCCTACTGGCCCATACAGTAGCTGGGAGGAAGGCACCTGCTTCTAGAAGGAATCCTGCCAGCCCAAAATGTAGCTGTGCTCAGAATATCTGGTCCCAGAAAAAGTTACTGATATGTCAGAAAGCAGCTGGATGCAGGGCCCTTGTTCTCAGAAAAAGTTCCTGCCAACTTCAAAGGCAGCTAGTTGTAGGGTGGTCTCAGCAAAAGTTCCTGCCAGCACAAAAGGCTGCTGATAGTAGGGTAGCTGATCTCAGAACTAGTTCTTGTCTACCCAGAAAGCAGCTGAGGGAGGACTCCAGATCCCAGATGAGTTCCTGCTGACCCAGAAGATGTTTGGAGACAGTGCTCCTTCACCCAGAAAATATTCCTGCTGGTCCAGAGGGCAGTTGGAAGCAAGGCACCTAGTTCCACAGAGAGTTCCTGCTGGCCTAAGAAGCAGCTGTGGGCAGGATGTCTGGTCCCAGGCAAAGTTCCTGCTGTCTAAAAGGGAACTAGGTATGGTGTGCTATTCCCAGAAAAAGTTCCTGCCTTTCAAAAAGGCAGCTGGATGTAGGGTACTTGATCTCAGAAAAAGTTCCTTCCGGCCTAAAAGGTGCCTGGGAGCCAGGCACCTAGTCCTGGGACCAGTTTCTGCCTGTCCACAGGGTAGCTGGTGGCATGGTCCTTGGTCTGGGATGGAATTCTTGCTGGTTCAGAAGGTGGGTGAGGATGGGCAGTGGCCACATCTCTGCTTACTGGGAAGGTGTGGGGTACAAAGGGAGTATTGTACCTTTCTGGTCATCAGACACCAGTGTGCTTGCCCATGCAGTCCTTGACAAGTAAAGCCGATTATCAGGTTGCTCCCTGTAGATCTGAACGCTGTTTGTAAATATTTAAAATGATCACGCTATTAGGCCAGTTAACAGACCACAGCCCCATGTGTGTCTTCATTCACCGTTTCATTCAGTTTCTTATACTAGTTGGTATTTAATCCACTTCTTTATCCTTGCCTACAAAACTCAGGGTTCCAGGATTTTCTTCTGTATCTGTTTAAATTGGTTTCTCATTTCTTTGTTGTAGAGGATCTGTATAGCTTGTCTGCCTATTCCTCCATCTATCTAGAAGTCCATGATTGAATATTTTTGCATATGCTTAGGCATCATTTGATTTTGTCTTTTGTAAGAGGTGCATTGAAATAGTGATCCTACATCTGAATTGTTACATTCTGTGTGTACATGTATTTTTTGTGAGAGTATTTCCCCTTCATTATTTACTTTTAAACATTTTTCTTATTTTTTATTTTGCATTACAGAAGTTAATATGTTTATGTAGTCAAATTCATAATTTGTCTCTTTTATGATTTCTTTGGTTTCTGCAAGTTATTTTTATGATCTCACTTTGAGTTATAGTCCATACAGGGCATTATTTCATTAAAAACTAACCTTATAAAACTAACCAGTTGCTAATTCCTACTCATGGCGAGTTCAGGTATATCGAAGAAAAACTATACTCCATGTAATTTTCAGTGGCTGATTTTTTGGAGGTAAATCATCAGTCCTTTCTTGCAGTGTGCCTCTGGTGGACTCAAATCTCCAATCTTTTGTTTAGAAGCCAAGCACTTAATTGTTTGCACCACTCAGACACTTACAACTTTATAAAAGCCAAAGTAAAATGAAGCATTTCATTTTTGTGAAATGGTCCAGGGAATGTAACTTCCTCTGTCTTTTGTGTCTTACGACTTAGAGTGTTCTTAGGTAAAGATTTATTACAACTGCCCTATTCTTGTGCAGTTTAAATGTTTCCCTTCTTTTGCTTTTCAGATCATTCATAGTTTTACAAGGCGGATCCAAACCAAAATTAAAGATCTACTACAGCAAATGGAAGAAGGGCTGAAGACAGCTGATCCACATGACTGCTCTGCTTATACTGGTTGGACAGGTGAGAATATGGAGTATAAGAAACTGACGTGTTGTATTCTTGGGTTATAAGATTAAGACTTGGGTTAAGATTTGCCTTTGAAGCTTTCTTTCAAAATAATAAAGTATACATACCATTTTTAAAAAATTTATTTTAATTTTTTTTATTTTTGCAGTGTTTACTCCCCTCCCCTTCCCACCCTTGGTAACCAACAAAGAAAGTTTCCTTCCATATATAAACCTTTCCTTGATGTTTTACAATAATGAACTAATACAGTATTTGTCCTTCTGTGATTGACTTATTTCACTCAGTATAATGTCCTCCAAGTTCATCTACATTATATGGTGTTTTGCAGATTCTATATTATTCTTTAGTATTCCATTGTATGTACCATAGTTTGGTTATCCATTCTGTTATTGATGGGCACGTAGGTTGTTCCATCTTTTTGCTATTGTAAATAGTGCTGCGATGAACATGGATGTGTGTATATCTGTTCTTGTCCTGGCTCTCACTTCTTTAAGATATATACCTAGTAATGGGATTGCTGGATCAAATAGTATCTCCAATTCTAACTTTTTACTGCTTTCCACAGTGGTTGTATCATTTTACACTCCCCCCAGCACTGTATGAAAGTCTTAATCTCTCTGTATCCTCACCAGCATTTGTTATTTTCTGTCTTGTTGAACTTTGCTATTAGTGCTGGGGCAAGATGGTTTCTCATTGTTGTTTTAATTTGCGTCTCCCTCAGAGGGGTCGTATGAGTCAGGAATGAGACAACACTGAGTTTGTTTTTGTTTTTAATGGCTAATGATCGTGAACATTTCTTCATGTGTTTGTTGGCCCCCTGATTATCCTCTTTGGTGAAGTGTTTATTCATGTCTTCTGCCCATTTTTTAATTGTATTGTTTGTTTTTTTGTTGTTGAGGTGTTGGAGTTTTCTATAAATTTTGCATACCATTTTAATGAAGTCTTAGGCTGCACTTTCACTGATGAGATGCTTTGCCATTTCCTCTCTAAAGATATGCTTTCTGTCTGAAGTTTGAATTTAATATGCAGTGGTCAGCACAGCAACAATTGTGAGGATAGCACAGAACTGGGCAGTGTTTTGTTTTGTTGTACTTAGGGTCACTGTGGGAAGGAGCTCTGCTGGTGTAGTGGCTAAGGCATTTGACTGCTAACCAGAAAGCTGGTGGTTCTCTACTTCTGTAGACATGCCGCCTCAGAAACCCAAGGAGGGGTCACTGTGAGTCAAATCGACTCGATGGCAGTGAGTTTGGCTCAGTTTTTAGGGTCATTATGAGTTGGAACCAACTCGAGGTGCCTAACAACAACAACATTAAACATGTGATTATCTATAGATGGTGGGTAGGGGAAGAGAGTGCAGGGACAATGTGGAAGCAAGACTTCTTGCACACCCATATTATGCAGGTTAAGTACAACACTTTTAGTCATAGGATAATATCTATACAAAGAAAGATGAGTTAATACTACTATTCTTCAAATTTATACACCAACCACTAATGACAAAAATGAAGAATTAAAGCTTTTTACCAACTTAATGCACTCTGAAATTGATCAAACAGGCAATCAAGATGCATTAACTGAAATGAAAAAGTTGGAAACAAAGACGAAGTGTTGTTGTTGTGTTGTTAGGTGACATCAAGTCATCTCCGACTCATAGTGACCTTATGCACAGCAGAACAAAACACTGCCCGGTCCCACGCCAGCTCTAAGATCCTTGCTATACTTGAGCCCAGCGCCAAAGCATCTGTGTCAGTCCGTCTTGTTGAGAGCCTTCTCCTCTTTCGTCGATCCTCCACCTTACCAAGCATGACATCCTTCTCCAGGTAATGGTCCCTTCTGATAACATGACCAAAGTAGGTGAGACAAAGTCTGGCCATTCTCACTTCAAAGGAGCATCTCAGCTGCACTTCCTCCAGGACAGATCTGTTAGTTCTTTTAGCAGTCCATGGTGCTTTCAGCATTCTTCACCAGCACCACATCTCAAAAGCACCCACTCTTCTTTGGTCTTCCTTATTCATTGTCCAGCTCTCACATGCATACGAGGCGATTGGAAATATCATGGCTTGTGTCAGCCCACTTTAGTCCTCAGGGAGACATCTTTGGTTTTCAGCACTTGAAAGAGGTCCTTTGCAGCCAGTTTGCCTACTGCTATATATCTTCTGATGTCCTTACTGCTGCTTCCATTGGTGTTGATTATAGAACCAAGCAATGTGAAGTCTTTGACAACTTCATTCTTTTCTTCATTCATCATGATGTTGCTTATAGTTCCAGTTGTGAGGATTTTGTTTTCTTTATATTGAGATGTAATTCATACTGCAGACTGTGGTCTTCAATATTCATCAGTAAGTATTTCAAATCATCCTCACTTTCAGGATGCAAAGTTGTGTTGTCTACGTATTGCAGGTTGTTAATGATTCTCCTCCAATCCTGATGTCACGTTCTTCTTCATATAGTCCACCTTCTTGAATTATTTGTTCAGCATACAGATTGAATAAGTATAGTTAAAGATACAACCCTGATGCACTCCCTTCTTGATTTTAAACCATGCAGTGTCCCCTTGTTCTGTTCAAACGACAGCCTCCTGATCTTTGTTCAGGTTCCTAATGAGTACAATCAAGTGTTCTGCATTCCCATTCTTCTCAATGTTACCCATGATTTGTCATGATCCACACAATCAAATGCTTTTGCATAGTCAATAAAACACAAGTAAACATCTTTCTGGTATTCTTTGCTTTGAGCCAAGATGCATCTCCCATCAGCAGTGATATCCCTTGTTCCATGTCCTCTTTTGAATCCAGCTTGCATTTCTGGAAGTTCACTGTCAGTATACTTGCTGAAGCCATTTTTGAATTATATTCAGTAAGGTTTTACTTGTGTGTGATATTAATGATATTGTTCTATGAATTCCACATTGTGTGGGATCACCTTTCTTTGGAATGGGTAAAAATATGGATCTCTTCCAGTCAGTTGGCCAGGTAGCTGTCTTCCAAATCTCTTGACATAGATGAATGAGTTCCTTCAATGTGGCATCTATTTGTTGAAACATCTCAATGGGTATTCCATCAATTCCTGGAGCCTTATTTCACCGATTCCTTCATTGCACCTTCAACTTCTTCCTTCAGTACCATTGGTTCTTGATCATATGACACCTCCTGAAATGGATGAACATTGACCAGTTCTTTTTGATACAGTGACTCTGTGTATTCCTTCCATCTTCTTTTGATGTTTCCTGCATCATTCAATATTTTGCCCTTAGAATCTTTCAGTATTGCAACTCAAGGCTTGAATTTTTTGTTCAGTTCTTTTAGCTTGAGAAATGCTGAGCTTGTTCTTCCCTTTTGGTTTTCTAACTGCAGGTGTTTGCACATTTCATTATAGTAATTGACTTTGCCTTCTCGAGCTGCTCTTTGAAATCTTCTGTTTAGCTCTTGTAGCTTGTCACTTCTTCCATTTGCTTTAGCTGTTCTCCACTCAAGGGCAAGAAGTTTCAGAGTCTCTTCTGATGTCCATTTTGGTTTTTTCTTCCTTTCCTGTCTTTTTAATGACCTTTTACTTTCTTCATGGATGATGTTCTTGATGTCATCCTGCAGTTCCTGTGGTTTTCGGTCATTGGTGTTCAATTCATCAAATCTATTCTTTAGTTGGTCTCTAAATTTAGGAGGGATATATTCAAGGTCATATTTTGGCTCTCATTGATTTGTTTTAATTGTCTTCAATTTCAAGGTTAATTTGCATATGAGCAGTTGATAGTCTGTTCCACAGTCAGCTCCTGGCCTTGTTTTGGCTGAAGATATTGAGCTTTTCCACCTCCTCTTACCACAGATGTAGTCAGTCTGATTCCTGCATACTCCATCTGGCAAAGTCCACATGTATAGCTGCCATTTGTGTTGTTGAGAAAAGGTATTTGCAATGAATAAGTCGTTGGTTTTGCAAAATTCTATCATGAAATCTCCAGCGTTATTTCTGTCATCGAGGCCAAATTGTCCAACTACCAGTGATTCTTCTTTGTTTCCAATTTTGTTGGTAGTTGGAAAATATGACCTTGGCACAGAAATGACATTGGCGATCAGATGATAGAATTTTGCAAAATCAATGACTTATTCATTGCAAGTTCAGTTTTCAACAACATAAATGACACTATACACGTGGACCTCACCAAATGGAATACACAAGAATCAAATCAGCTACATCTGTGGAAAGAGACAATGGAGAAGCTTAATATTATCAGTCAGAACAAGGGGAGGGGTCAGCTGAGGAACAGTTAATAAATTGCTCATATGGAAATTCAAAGTGAAGCTGAAGGAAATGAAAACAAGTCCACAGGCGCCAGTATACAGCCTTGAGTATATGCCACCTGAATTTAAAGATTATCTCAAGAATAGATTTGACAGAATGAACACTAATGACTAAAGAACAGACAAATTGTATGATGACATCAAGGACTTTGTACATGGAAAAAGTGAAAGGTAATTAAAAAGACAGGAAAGAAAGAAAAAAACAAATGTCACAAGAGACAAAAATATGCTGTTGAACATTGAGTAGCTAAAATGAAAGGAAGAAATGATAAAGTAAGAGATTTAAACAGAACATTTCAAATAGTGGCTCCAGAAAACAAAGTAAAGTATTATAATGAATTGTGCAAAGACCTGCCATTGGAAAACCAAAAGGAAACAACATGTTGGACATTTTTCAAGTTGAAAGAAAGGAAAAAAAAATTCAAGCCTTTAGTTGCAGTATTTCAGTATTCTGTGGGCAATACAGTTGAGTGACACAAGACGCATCAGAAGAAGAGGAAGACCCTTGTCACCACTCCTGTTCAATATTGTACTGGAAGTCCTAGCCAGAGCAATAAGGCAAAAAAGGGAAGTAAAAGGCATCCAAACTGGTAAACAAGAAATAAAATTATCTGTATTTGCAGATGACATGATACTATAAATAGGTAATCTCAAAAGTTTAGTAAGAAAACTACTGAAACTAACTGACAATTTCAGCAAAGT